ATGGATTATTAGTTATAATAAAGTTAAAAATATGTTTTTATGTGTTGTTTTAACAATATGTCTGAAAATGAAGTGGTTATACAAGTTGTTTCATATATAAAACATTCATGATTGTTTTTTTTTTCACATATAAAACAACATCATATAAATATTGTATTTATCTCAGACATAAAATAACACATTACGATTTGTTTAAAAAACTGCACGCTTCATTAAATTTGTAAAGAATTGGATGCCTAATAATATTGGTTTATCTACAATTATAAGATATGGATACTGAATTGGAAGAGAAAGAAGCACATGCATGGTAGTGCCCAACTTCCTACCCACATGCCTCACACCATCAAACCACAAACCAACAAAATTACATGTATTATTATCACACTAAATTATTATCATTTTTTTTTATAATTTGTAATTTATTGTTATTTTTTTTCTTATAATTTATAATTTACTGTTGTTTCGATTCCTGTGATTTACATTTTCTAACTATTTTTTATACTTAAATGTAAGAATTAGTTCATGAATGAAAATAACAATAAATTGTAAATCATGGTGATGAAAAACTGCAATTTCTAACACACGGTAACCAAATTGAAATTATTAACAAACCACATGAATAAAAATCATAGTTTACTCTTTTCATTATATATGGGGCGACTTGGTTAGTTTTCCATTAAGTTTTATATGGATAGAGATGCCTGTGTAGATTAATTTGTCTATATAGATTGAGAAGGTTTTGTTTAAAAGGTTTTTTCCATAGATGAAAATGAGTATGTTTTTTAATTAAGAGCAACAAATTTCGAAATAACTTGGGTTTTCTATATAAACCCCCCTACAAGCTTACCGAATAAGCTATTTTCTATATCCTTAAACCACTACCAAACATTTATCCTTTAATTATAACTGACCGATTAGGTTGTGAGTCTCGTTAAATGAATCAAGCTACTAACAAACAGACCCTACATTTAATACAATAAAATGTTGAGACTGAGTACTTATAAATTATCGTTTTTTAATATTCATACTCGTTTTTTGCTACATTATTTATGAAATTAATGATAAAATCAACATTTTTATATGATGTTGTTGGTTCGAAAATCCAGATTAAATAGGTTTTTTCTTCACATAAATTGATTTAAGAATAAAAATTATTGTTTCGTTGTGAATAGGTGGTACCCAATCGATCCATTATTTTTTTATAAATTGCATAAAAAGGTAACTTATTTTAACTTGATTTCTATTTTGAGTAATGTATTTTAAAACATCTATTTTGGTACCTATAATTTAAACTTTTGAACATTTAATTACCCGAGTTACCGGTTGAAGCATTAACCGATTATCATACTGATTTGGCGAGTGATGTGGTATCCAACTCAGTATTATTTGTTGATCTGGTTAGTGACATGAATTTTTTTTAATCTTAAATTACTCTTTTTCTTAATCTAAAATTAGTCTCCGACCGGTTACTCTGGTACTTAAATGTTTAAAATATTACATCATAGGTATCAAAATGTAAGTTTTAAAAGTACATTATTTTTTTCATACAATTTGTCCAATTGCGATTGATAGGGGAGTTCATTCGGTGTATCTCTAGTGTTGATCTTTAATTAGTATTTGATCCAAAGGTGAAGATGCATTCTACATTTCTCACCATAACTTTTATTTTCACCGGAAGCCAACAGTACAGACATGTATATACATATATATACTATTTAATTTTCATTTTTGTAATCATTCAATGGAAATACAAACATCACATGATTTGCAACTTTGGAGTTGGATTCACCTTTTAAAATGTTGTGTGTTCCTCCCCTTTTTGGTTAAAGCGTTATTCTTCAAGGCTGGAAAAAACACATCTTTGTACTATCTATATTCATGAATTTCCATTTTTTATATTAGAATACTTTAAAAAATACAACACAATTTAATATATAATTTAATAGGTTTTTAAAATCAATATTTTATAATATAAAAAAAACCAATTGAAGTATTTAGATTTTAGGAAGAAAAAAACCCAACCAGTTTTTATTTTAGACAGTTTAAAACTTAAAATATTGTTAATTTTATTTTAATAAAACAAGTAATTCCATTTTAATAGGTGGGTTCAGTAATACAAATTATCTAAAACACTTGTATGTAGATTTATTAAGAAATTGCTGTTAAAAAAATTCCAAATATATATAATAAACTACCAATAAAATATGGTTGTTTTGTCTAAAAAATACGGATTATGAAAATTGTGCAAATTTTTTTTTGTGAACCATAAGTGTCTAGTTGGGCGTACCTCGACTAATTTCAATGATATCTATTTGTATAAGTGTGCCACGAGTGCTCGGCATTGCCCTTCTTCACTCACGCGATATTGTTGGATCGGGCTTTCGTCCATTATCCAAGATTCCAGAAGTCTTTAGGTTTTGACTCCTTATCAACGAGCTCAGCCAGAAGGACTTGCAACTTTCATCAATTAGGGAATAGCGCAGATGRATCAATCACGCGGTTCTGCAGTGTCCTCCAACTCGCTGTCCACTCCCCTCTATTGCAAGCTACCTCTTGTTAAACCTGTTCTAGCTTAAGCGCATATGGCATGAAAAGGGAATTTGACCCTTGAGAACAACCAGGAAAATCTGTAGTGGCTTTAGCAGACTTGAATTGATGATCGGGATCCACAAAAGTTCAAGTTTTATTTTCAGTTTAAGCTAACCCCACAAGGTTAATTGTGTAATTTTTTAACAAACACTAATTCATTTTGAACCATTCATCACACTTTTTGATATCAAACAAAACCTTCTATATACTGAATTTGTTGACAAATATAGGTTGAAAATTGAAATGAATGGTGTTGCATACTGTATTCATTTCTGGATAAATGATTCAGACCAAAATTAAACATGTATATATATATAATTGGGCCGTTGATAGACTATATATTCTATTATATTATGTGCTTAAAAGTGGATCAATATTCTCAAACTACAATTGGGCTGGGCTTTTATGGATTGGTTTCATCAAAGCCCATCTCAAATCTTCATAGGCTCTTATTTTTTGTCTTTTGCAAAAAGTTAAAAAAAAAAAAAAAACAAGCTTTTTTTCATTTTCAATTATTTAGTCTTTACACTTTTTTATTTTAAAAAAATTATTAAACTTTCATACTTAAATGATTAAGTTTCTGAACCATTTTTTAAATAAAAAAATAATTAATTTTTTTCATTTTGATTAATTAATACCTTGAACAATGTTTAATAAATAAATTATCATACTTTTAAAAATTGTTTACCTACATCTTTTTAAAGTAAAAAAGTTACATTAACCGACTACTAAAAATAAGATGGTTTATTTATTCTTATAAAAAATTTCAGTAAGGTCTTAATCATTCGAAATATGAAAGTTTATTGGGTTTTTTTTGACATAAAAAGTACCGATTTATTGATGATCAAAATCGTTACAAATGAAACTTAGCTCTTTCACCAACCAAACTAGAGATCCAACACCTGTGAAAGGCACGACAAATGAAACTTAGCTCGTAGGTTGTGTTTTTATACAACAAAACGTTAATTAGTTTATCTCTGATGATAGATAGCTTGTATATTTTTTCTCCTCTTGGAAGCTCTAACCGAACAAAAGTAAAGGCATAGCTAGTAGGGGGCTAGATTGTGCTTAGCCCCCCGCCCCCCTAAAATGGTTAACAAACTAGTGCCTGTTTAGATGGGTAGAGCTATGGTGAAATTTTACTTTATAATAACAGGGATCAAAATCCTTTTTTGCACTAAATTGAAGTTTTTAATTTTCTTTTCGTTTTTTATTTAATTTAATTATCAATATTTTTATTTTTTTTGGTTTTAACAGGTATTTTAATATTTATTGTTCATATTCACAATAGAAGTTTTATAATATATTTTATTCACAATCATTTTGTAGATAATATTATTATCAAAACATGTTATATAAAATCCAAAAATATATAACTCAATGTTTTTATGCAAATTTCTAAATCATAGATAGATCTTCATAATGACAATTTTCAGCTCTCGAGTAATGAAAAACGGGTTTTTTTGCCGCTGATGGTCAATCTGTAGGTAATCATGAACATCGGCCATAATTTATCCGGCAATAAGATCCGCCAATGATGTATTTTTTTAACGGATTACCAATGGATTTTTCCTTTGGTGAAACTTTTTTGTTTTGTAGTGTAAGTTCATTTAGTTTTACATCATTTTGCCCCCTCTAAAAAAATATTTTGGCTCCGAAATGGACAGAAGGAATTTCTTTTGTTTTCAGGAGATTAATGGTAGACCCGATACTTTTGTCGAGTCGCTACACCTCTATGGTGAATCCACCGTTTACAGGTATGTTTTTTAGCTGAATCCACCGTTTACAGATATGTTCTTGAAAAGTTTTTTAGTTGAATTCAATAGACTTTTTCAATTAATTTCGATCAACTTTTTGTTTTTTTGGTTATGTCCGTTGTATTTTATAATATCAATGTGCACCTCTCAAAGTTTAGAGAATACACCTTCCATACCCACGAAAAAATTCAACTCGAAAATCGGTCAAACAGGTGCATGGACCCGCTGGGGGACCCACAACTTTTGCTTGAATAGATACACAATTAAGGTGGATCTATAGCTAGCAAAGTCATTCAACGTGTTTTTAGCCAAATTCCACTTTTCTATGGTGTTTTTTTTAGTCGATTTCAAAAGATTTTTTTATTTCTTTCGGAACTTTTTTCAAATTTTTTTTATTCTGAGATACTTTTATTCCATTTCTTTTAATTTCTTATTTTCTAATATCGCCTAACAACATGGATACACCTTTTATGCATACTATAACATAAATGGTTTTATGGTTGGAGATGGAATGATTTTTGGTGTTATCGAGCCCATAAATTTGATAGTTTGTTGGTGTGATTATTAGTGATGGTGTTACATAGCAGTTTTTGCTTACATTTCAAAACAAATCAATCATCACAGTCGACAAACATGAAATTTAGCTTCTTTTAAACAATGGGAATTCACGAATTTCTTCATCCCAATTTTAAAATAAATTATTGGAACAATTTGAATAACATACAAATTTTGTTATACAAATTTCGTATTCCGACCACAATCACCAAAAACTGACCTAAACAAGCCTCGGTTGCAAATTCTGTGTCGGAATCCATGGCTGCCGGAGACACGATCCCCATCAAATTCATTTCGATACGATTAAACTCTGTTCTAGATCAAGATAATAAGGAATACCTGTATCATTCAGCCATTCTCCTCCCTGAATAAAATTCCCGACGGTAAACTGGCTCGCCTCCGTCGAATTCATGGTCACTCTGTACCCCGGCCACGTAACCCTAGCGCTCGTATTTGAACCAGGTCCTCTATTCATATACTCGCCATAATCAAGCGTATCGAGTGCAAAATCACCGTCCCACTCCAAATAACCAACCGGATCTATCAAATCGCCGATGTACGACCGCATAATCATCGTTCTGGAGTACAACTTCCACGGTCTCCCAAGGTACGATTTAAACATGGTTTGGTTAGGGATCAGCTCCGATCCGGCAGCGATTTTGCATTCCAGTATTGAAATTCCGGTGTTTTGATTAGGATCATCTCTACCTTGAGCGGTGAAGATGTTCTTCTGGTTAGGGTTAGGTTGACGAGCATAGAAGTTAGATTTCTGGAAAACGACGGCGGCATTGCCGAACACGAAATCAATGGTGCCGTAGACGTCGCATTCCCGATAGAATTGTCGGAGAGTGTGAACGTAGAGAGTGTCTTGGTAGGCCACAAAGCTGCATTGATAGAACACGGAGAAATCGGACCCACTTCTCAATGCAACTGCTTGGTGTTTGCTGGGACCCGCGTAGTTTTCAAATGTGATCCCTTTGGCTATAAAATTTGCACCAACTGCAACTGCACATGATTAAAAAAAATTATTATAATTTCAAATTTAATCAATTAATCTACAAAAATTAATTAAAATACTTATTTACGGATTTCCAATTTATCTTTTAACCATTTTTCTCCAATATTTAAAGAAAGCCACTATCTTTATAAATGACAACTCTTCAACTTGTGCAAAGTTAAAAGTAAAAAAAGGAGTTTCTTAACAAGTGCAGAGATCAAATCTGTAAATTAGTTTCATCACTTTTTGGTACCTAGTTCAGATTTTCTTTTTCCATTTTGACCCATTTGCAAATTGAGAAGGTTCCACTTTCTGGAACTACTAATATTTTTTAAACTTGGGGAGAGAAATAAATAAAATATGAAAATGGCTATTTCTATTAATTTTTCCCATTCATCTAATATATCTCACTGGCGGAAAGATAATAACTAATATGTATGTAGATTTTATCTTAATTACTGAAATCTAGAGGTTGTTTTTGTGAATTCTCCGCATTGTGCACAAAACAGAAGTGTTTGCAAGTAGAAAACCAGATAGATAATATAACAAGGATAATGATGATTTATTGTTGTATGCATTATTCAATAGCATTCAAGTAGACAATGTGCATAGTAATTTAAACATTAAATCCAGAAATAAAGACAAACAATAAGGTCAGGTCCTAATCAATGAAGCTATCCTACAATGAATCTATGTTTCTATTGTCTATTCTCTCTTCAAAACCTAGATGAAAACAATAATTAAATAAGAGAACACAAAAACGGTTAAATCATGTGATTTTACATTAATAATCAACGGAAAGATGCTTATGACCTCGGGTCAACCTAAATCATGTGAATCACATGTGATTTTATTTATGATTAGACTATTTTTTATTTGATTATTATTCTCGTATAATGACTTTATGTACCCACTAGTTTCGATCTTAAAATTTAAACAATTAATCAACCCATTAACATAAACTTGGTTAAAATTTTAAAAAAATGATTAAGAAAATCAAGCATTCCTAATATTTTATATTATTTAATCAAAATAAATCAGAAAAAGAAAAAGAAAAATAATCAAATATATTAATTATTTATAAATATTTAATTAGCGTAAAAGAATGCATGGTTATGAAAGCGGGGTCCACAGGCTAGAAAACAGCGTCACCGACAAAGGGAGGTAGGTGAATAGTAAATATACTGGCTTTTCCGTGACCTACGACCCCAACTACCTGCCATTTTCTGTGGATCCAATCTTATTTTTAACCTAAATAAACAAACCTTATTGGTCAGTCCAACACTAGATTTGACTTGCTTTTTCATTTTTTAACTTTTCTTTTAATTAATTATCTATTTATTTATTAAAATGAAATCTAAAATTAAAAGTTAAAAAATAAAATACAAATGAGATTCGAACTAATGCCTAAAGTGGAGTATAAACCCACTCTATCAACAAAAAACTTATTATATTGTATATGATCTCAAAATGATTCATGCTATCATGAAGAAAAACGATACACTTTAGTGGGTCCGCCCCTGTATAGGCATCTTATTTTTTTAACGTACGTATTTGGTTTAACTTAATAAATAGTATCAGCAAATAAAACCTAGCTTTCCAAGCCTATTGGGATGTCTTTCTGTTCTTAAATCTTAATTAACTAAAAATGGAAATATTTAAAAACATGTGATGTGATGTGATATCCATATCGGATTTCTATTAACCCACTATACGATAATGCCTACCAGCATCAAATCACACATATCTCAACAGGATGCTATGGTGTTACTTACTGACAGTAGCTGATCGGAAAGTTGTCCAGCCGTCGACCACACTCCGGTTGCCTTTGATCAATGTTTTTCCGATCCCATCACCCACCAACATAATCATTCTCTTCTTGTTAATCACCTCCAAATACTCATAATAAGCTCCGGATTTTATATATATCACAAATCTCGTCGTACTTGAATTCGGTGCCGCATTCAATGCTTCTCCGATCGTCGTGAAATTTCCACTTCCGTCCTTCGCCACCACCAAATCATACACTGTTTCATTCGTCGCCAGCTGCAACAACCGTCTGTCCTTCCTCTTCACCCAATCCGGATACCCGCCGGACATCCTACCGTACCCCGGTAAACTCTCTGCCGACTTCCCTTCCGACGTCGTTCCGTTTATCTTCTTCAACAACGCAAGCGAGTTGCTAACTTGACGTGAAATACCACGCAACGCTTTACGAAAGTGTCTGCTTATCTTCACCTGAGATTTCGTGCCTTCGAATCCATCGAGACACGTAGCTTGATTCGTCATGGCAGCGCTGAGCATCGATTGGAGATCGTTGTATTTCTTCGCCGGCGATTTAGAGAGATCGGTGACGGCGGATTTGAGTTCGGAGACTGTTTCAAGAAACAATGTGTGACAATCTTCGAGAGCTCGGATCTCGTAGACGGTGAGATGAGGAAGTTTCCGGCGGATGGCGGTGACATTGAAGTCGGTGGATCGGACGTCGGTGATGGTTTCTTTTACGGTGGCGGAGATAATTTCTGGCAAGGAGGTGGAGGTGAGATCCGGTAGGATTCTTGTTAGCGTGGAGACGCAGAGATCGTGGTAGAGTGCACCGTCGCATTGTAAGTTTGCGGTTTGAGTTTGGAGTCGTTTGTGAATGTGTAAATGGGAAGTGGGTTTATTTGGAAATGATGAAAGTGGAGGGTGGTGATTTGTAAATATGAAGAAAGAAGAGAGCAAGAGGAGGGCTGAGAAGGGGAGGAGGAGGAGGAAGAGACGACGGCGTTTAAGGGTGAGATTGGTTTGCATGGTGGTGGATGGAATTTTAAATGAAAAGTGAGACAAAGACAGGGATTGGAGAGGGAGGGGTAGAGGTAGAGGTGGTGGGTGTTGGTATATATATATACACTTTATTTAATCCTCTATCCCATTCAACATGTAATAATTTTGTTGTCTTAATAAATGCACTTGTTACTTTCAAAACAGTTAAATTATATAATAATATACACACACTCACAGAGAGAGGGGGGGAAGAAACGAGAATTCTAATTATTTATTTAAAAAGATATAAAACAGCTAAATTGTACGAGCGATTTTCTTATTTTTTTCAGGTCGTGGAGTAAAGTTGTGTGAATCACATGTGATTTTGTACTTAATGTTAGTATAGAATCAGTGTGATTCGACCGTTTTTTTATTCTTTTAAATAGGTGTCGTTATCGTTTAAACCCAACTCTCTCTCTCTCTCTCWCWMTATMTMTATATATATATATATATATAATTGCGTTTCAATAAGAATGAAAGTTATCGTTAGAATGATAAAAAGGAATCTCCATTTTTTGATTAATCTTAATTGAAGATCAATAGTAATGAGATACACAATTCATAGAGTGATGGTGATATTAAAAATGTTCAAATCATTTATCACACTTCTCACTTTAACTCCTATATTCACAAGATCTTTCGTCTCTTTCTCTAGATATATATATATATATATATATATATACACACACACACATATATAGATATATTGTATTTACAAAAAGTCTGTCATTATTTTTTAAAACATATAGGTTTTATCTATCTCTCTCTTACAACCATTAAAGATTTATGTTAAATGATGGGCATTTTGTATTTTGTTGAATTTTTTGTCTTTTATCTAATCAAAAAGTACAATCATAAACCGATTTTGATTAGGTAAAGACAAAAAGACCGATAAAAGGACAAAAATATCCTTCATGTTTATTAAAATGGGAGATCAAATCTTGACTTTTTTAGAAACCATCTTGTAATTTCAAAATTATTATGACGAAAAGTGTCACTTCCAACAAACCCCAAGGGCTCAATTTGTAGTTTACTCTTTCAAAAATACATTTCAACTTAGAAAGTTCAGTAGTGATTTAAAGAGTAATTCGTTTTAATGTTGAAATATATATATATATATATATATATATAATTACATTTAAAAAACTTAGTGCATTCTTAATTACGTTAAGGGTATATTTGTCAAACAAGATAAATAAATGGTTGACTGATAAACTAGTTGTTAGTTAAGAAACTTATTACTCGCTAATAAATTTGACATATTTTGTAAAAAAAATAGTTGATAAAATAGTAACTAACACTATAAAATGAAAAATAAATTATAAGAGGTTGTCGAAAGATGGAAATCCTTGGAATATTATGAACCCATTTAGTAACGGATTGAGATTGTTTAAGTAATTCACATAAGCTTTGACCTCTTAACTGGTAAAAGATGAGACAACTTTACTTAAATAGATCTCATCCTTTCCTTTTCTTTACTAACTTCAGCTGTTGAGTGAGTCAAAAAAATTTCTCATCCCTCCCACATATACCCATTGGTGTCCTTAAAAACATGTTCCATATAAATCTGATTGGGATTGTCGGTAATCAATTTTTGCCCAAATAACTGTTTAAAAGTAAAGAAATAGATAGTACAAGTTGGTAATAGAAGAGCACGATCGGAATTAAATGAACAATGAAGACATTATTGGAATTGATTCTGGGGGAGGTTATTGCTTCATCCAATTTTTTATTGGCTTAAATATTATCCTTATTTTTGAGACACCAAAATTAAATAGGGTCAGTCTGCACATTTTCGGTATTATTTTTTTTATTTAATTAAATTAAAAACACAAAAATATTCGATTTCAAAACACAAGAACTAGGAACATGATAAGGGTGTTGCTGGGAAGCTTGGATTTTGGGTCTCGAAAATCCTATTTTTCGATTTAGGTTATTAATTATTTTTTAATAATTTAATAAATTATTAAATGCTCTTTGTTTCAATAATATCAACTTAGGTTTCACATTGAGATCGAGATTTTTTTAGTTTCCAGTATTATAACGTTTGTTTTTTTTGAAATCTTATTTCATTTTTGATTCATAAGAGATGTTACTAAAGTATGAAATTTGAATCAATAATGCTATTTGTTTTTGTAAATTGATAAACGTCTGATTTGTTTAAACACACTCTGCCAGAACATCGACCACAAACGAAGGATAGACAGACCCCGGTTCCCTGGGTTAGGGTAAACTGTTTATTTTTCTCATTAAAAAATTATAATGTTGAATTTCTAGATAAATTACAATTTCACATATTTATTCATCATCATTACGAAATTTACATCTAAATTATATTTGATTTGCTAAGGATCGATTGAAAGAAATTATTGATTAAGGTTAATTGATTGAGAAACGCCGTTGTTGAGGGTTTGAAGAGCAATAAGAGGCAAATAAGAGGTTGGTTTATCTCTTACCAGACATAAGTGTTTTTGAAAAATTGAAAAAAGACAAACAGTCTGAATAGTCTTACCTCTTAACGAATCAGACATAAGAGGCTGATAAGAGTTTTTTTTTAATAAAAAACAAACAAGACCTAAGTTGACTTTAACTATTGGGGTTGTGGCGTACTGATTAAGAAGCTTTTGGTGATGTAGTGAAAAATCTCATCTATCTTGGATTCAAATCTAAATTCAAAACTCTTGTGATCATGAAGGTTTACATGTGATGACTCCAGGCTATTCATGGTTGTTTGGGGAATTAGCCAGTGCGCATATGATGGCCCGAATACCCATAGTTACCAAAAAAAGGTTGAGTACTCTTCTAAGTCTTGTAAATACTTAACTTTTACAATCATAATGGTTTTTTAAAATAATGAATATTGATCAAGTTGGGTAAAAAATTGATTATCGATAACCATCCTCAGCCTCACACGAGATTTGCCTCTAAAAACACCAATATGAGAGGACATTTTTTGGCTCCTTCGATGACCGAGATTAACGGGATTGAACCTGGACCTGTTTTCTATTTGAATAAAGCCGATCAACTGAACTACACGTTATAAACATGAATACTGATCAATAATTAAAAAAAATGGTATTTGTGGGGTGATAGTTGTTGATGCTTTGTGAAGAAAATAACATGGTTTGCTGGAGTTTAGGGGATGTAGCATATGGGTATGGTGGGCTTGCGTTCATATGTGTGTGTGTATATATATATATATATATAGGGTTGGGTTCACGTGAGACCAGCCTGTTTTCGTGAGAGCCGTGAGACCACATTTTTAAACGTAAACTTCACAGCAAAAACA